CCCCCCCCCCCCGCCATCCCGCCAGCCGCTCAAACATTTCTGCAGCTACCAGTGGCCCACCCACGGCCCCCTCAGGAACTTTCCAGTGTTCCAACTCCCCACTGCTGCAATCCTGCGGTGACAGCCACGGTGCTGAGGGGAAGCACGATCACTTATTTTTAATGCTGGAGGGTACTGCCATTTGCCAGGGGGAGGGAGAGGGAGAGGGAGAGGAAGGAAGCACCACCAATGGGACGTGGTCAAGCCACATCCCCTCTCCTCCAGCTCTCCCGTCAGGATCTTGGACACGCCTACACACAGACACGTGCCCAGCATGCTCTCTGGGCTAGCAGGGCTGGGATGTGAACCACAGCCGGCCACGTGGGAGCCAGCTCTGAGGCTGACCCGGACTGACGTTCTTCCCTGCTCCCACCATCACGAAGCCCCCGGCAGATTCACAGGCGCCTCCAGGCCCGACCTGCTAACTTCTTCCCCACTGGGCAGACAGCGGCCACCACTCCCTGCTCAGTGCCCTGAAGAGGCTCAGCCCTGCATCCAGATAGCACCGGCCCCTCAGCCTGGAGATCCCAGCGACAAGGTTGGTGAGACCCCCACTCAGGTTCAAGAGGCAGGCAAGGAGATGGGAATCATCTTCCGATAAAACCCAGGCTTGCCCCACCCGTCCTGTCCAGGCTGACACAATGTCCCTGTGTCCTGAGAACAGGTCTGACAGCGCCTAGACTCCGCCCTGGGTGCTGGGTGCCAGCGTGTGCACGCGCACAGGTCCCCACACTGACGGCGAAGTCCACCTTCCCCCTGGACTTATGGTAAGGCCAAGACATTCGAGGCTCAAGGGAGTGCAACGGATACACCAAGTCCACACCCAGAAGGTACCTAATAGCACAGGCTAAAGGGCCCTTGAGGAAGAGAAAGCAGAAAACCAGGCAGAATAGGCTGGAAGGAGACATGCAGGACAGCTGGCCGAATGCTAGAGCAGCAGCCGTGGGCTCTTGACATGTCCCATTCGCAGTCAAGAGGGATGCTCGCTCATCTCTGGGGCCCTCAGGGACTCCACCGTTGGAGCCAAGCCCACCCATCAGCCCGACAGAGTACTGAGACCGCTGCTGGATGCTGGGAGACTTGGATGCCAGTCCCGCGGCTGAGTGGTCGTGAGAAAGTGCCCTACCTTTCCCATGTCAGCTTTCTTACCTATAAACTAGTAGGGGACTCCCCTGGAAGAGCTGCACCTCAAATAGTAGAATCCTGTGATATTTTCTATCTATAATCAATTCCCCTTGCGAGAGGGAGAAAGATGGTGCTACACAGTGTTTTCATCCATCAGTAAAGTGATGGAGACAGACGAGGTCAAAAGAGACTGCCGGGGGAACCAGCAGTTAGCGTAACGGCTATGTCGCTGGACTCCCACGTAGTTGACTGCAGTTCGCGTCCCGGACCCAGTGGCTTAAAACTCACGCCGGGCGCATGTGCGTGCATGCCCAAGATCCCGAGAGGAGAGTGGAGGAGAAGGGATTGCGGCGTGACCATCCCCCCTGGGGGGTGATTTCTCGCTTTCTGTCTCTATGTCTCTCTCTGTCTGTCTGGCGAGCGCACGCACCCTAT